CAGTCAGTGGCTTCTCTGGCTCAACAGCCACACGACATTGAATGTTCCTACTTTCCACAAGCGTCTCAACTCCCTCATTCCCATTGAGCATAGGAAAAAATACATCTATACAAAAACTGTCACCTCTGACTTCAAAGTGACCTTGAGATGGTAGTTCACAATATATCAGGATGGAGGGGAGTGAGAGACAGCCTAAATTCTACAGGCAGCCCTTATAACTTAAAGGGCAAAAGATGTTTTATTTAATGTGTTAATTAAATAGTCACTTGCAAAGAGAAATAACCTAATTCAAAATCTACGACCAAAATGACATGAATTGGAAAGGGGAAAAAAAGTGTATGAGAGAATGAAATGAGCCCAAATGAGGATGTTAGGGTAATCAATATCTAATTGTGTCAGTTTCAGAGGGAAATTTGGAGCCACACCAATATTTTGCATGAGGTAGTATTTATCACTGAATAAGAAATAAGGATGAATTTGTAGCTTCATTATAGGTTCCTTTTCAGAAATGTTCACCCCCACCTAAACCCCCCCACTGCCTTACCCACCCCCAACCCTTATAAGCCTTCTTCCTCCCATAAAAGAAAATACTCCTTGCAATGTATAAAGCCAGGATCTCAGGCAAAATTAACTAAAAATGTTTATAAGAGCTGACTTATCTACTTAAACATAAGAAAATAAATCCTCTTTTGCATTCTAGTGCTCTAACCTTTACACCGTCTTTCTGATTACTCTTGAATTTCAAAAAAAAAAAAATGAGAACAGAACCACAACACTTATTTCTCTAGAAACAACTTAAGACCAAGGCAAAGCAAAGGTGACATATTTGTTCATTTTAAAGGAATGAACTCTTAGGCTGCAAGTATATGATATTGGCCAGTTAGTCAATCAATGAGGGGAGGAGGAATGTTAAAAAAAGAATGTGCAGTTTGTTAATTTAAAAAGAAAAAAAAAAGTGTATCTCCTAGCCTATAGCAAAAAGAGTTAACTAAATCTATAGGATTTTTATTTTCATAGTTTCCTGTTCACATTTTTAATCAAAAAGTATTAGTCATAAAAAGACGAGTTCAAGTGTCCAAGTGTCTCCATGTAGAAGGCACAGTGATTGGATTAGTGATGCTGTTACCTGTTACCTGTCTTTTCCTAAATGTACACTTTGTACTCCTTACTCTATCCATATTTATAAGCCTAAAATGCAGAGCAACATGGAGTTCTCAATTCCAGCCCATGACATGCTTTGCAGTCTAATTCTAATCATGATTGGGAAATACTGAATCAGGAAATGTGTGTCTGAAGAGATGCTAATTTAGATCTCAAAATAGATTCATTCGTTTTGAGTTTTAGATGATTGGAGACAGGGAATTTCTAAGCCTGGAAACTGATAACTTCAGGAACAACTTTCCTGTTCAGGGCCTGAAAATTAGAAAAATGGATCTCATAAAACTTTCAGCACAGTATTTTTGACAACTGCAAATTAGATAGCAGAATATCCAAAAATGATTTTCTGCAATGATCTATCATGGACCTGGGCAAAAAACTGAAAGGCAGAGAAAAATACTTTGCAAAGTGGTGAGCAATCATTACATGGGTTAAGAAACGTTGAGTATCCTCCATATCCTCCAAGTACTCAATCTATATGTGTGGCATTGCTTATTCATTTGCTGTCTCAGTTGTTTGCGCTTTTGTTTTTGTCTGTCATTTTATTTATTTATTTATTTGAAAGAAAAGAAAACACCAACCTTTAAAAGCCTTTTGCCATCACCACACACATAGCAATTTGCAATATCAAATACAACAATAGCACAGCTAGCAAAAGGGTTCTTAAAGCAGGGGTGTCCACAGCAAAATAGCGGCATTGGAAAGTACTCAAGCCTCAGAAACAACCTTTTGGGGCTCAAATTCACATCACTGTATCAATGAATAGTACACAATAAATGACCATTAACTTGTCTACACTACAAAAACAGTGGCGAGCTTATTAAAGGTGTCCAGAGCTTTTTTTTTTGTTTTGTTTTTCTTTTTTTTAAATGTAATCCTTCACAAACAATGGTAATTTATATTATAATTTTGACATAGAAAAATATATAAATTCAAACACTTAATACATAATACTTTTCACAACTGAATTTGTCTCTGTTTCCCCAACATCAAGGCCCCATTAACAACTCAAGCCAAAGCTAATTTGCTCCAACTGAACACCCCTGCTGCCTGTTGAAACGAGAGGGATTGTCACAGAATGATAGTCATTTATAAACAATACATTTAGAGAAAGCTCTGAAATACAGCCGCTCAAGAACCAACCATTGGTGAGCAATTAAAACGATCAGCTCCTTTTTCACTAGCCAGCATGGTTTCTTTCTCTTCTTTCTCGAGATTGGTTTAGAGAACTATATCCTTCAGACGCTTCACACCAGGAGACTCTTTGTCGCGACCCTCCTTCAGAATGGGATTGACTTCATGCACGACCTTCTCGCTGTCAGCTCCACGGGGCTCAGCTTCAGAAGGACGAGAAGGGTTGCTGACATTGTTGACATACTGCTCCAGATCACGGGTTGGAGGAGCCAGGGCAACGGTGTAAGCCACAGAAGGCTTGGTAGGCAGAGGGCTCTTCAGGTGGAGGGGGGAGGTAACGGGCCTGATTGCCTCACAGCCATTCCCCGCCTCCCGAATAGCGCTATTGACCTTGGGGCTGCAGATGGTCACATCAACAGTCCGCTTGCCTTTCAGGGTGGGCCTCTCCTCAGCCGGACGGTCGCTGACATCTTTCCCAAAGGTTGCAAAAGTCCGCTTAGTGGGTCCGCAGTCGTCATAAGCCTCAACATCTGCAGCAGTAGCTTCAATGGACAGGGCGATGATGTTCCTCACGTGCTCAGGAGACTTGGAGCGGGTGGGCATGGGGTTCCGGGGCATCCAGCACCTATCAGAGTGGCCAAGAATGCGGCATTCTTCCCTGCAATGAAATCCTTCATTCTGATCTGTTTAGAGAAAAGAAACGTCAATTTCATCAGCTTTTCCCAAGAATCATTGTTACTCCCCAGTGTTCTGGTTTCTTAGGTACCACAGGCCCTCCTGGGAAATGGCAGTTTTAGATAGTCCCTTATTGCCTTTTGGGACAAGTGTGAAGAATTGGATTTTTAAGAGGCTGTGTATCTCCCTCTGTGTTCCCCCTCCCCACTTTTTATTTTTGTTGTTGTTCCCACTGCTGACAAGACTAAAACCCTAAAAGGAAATAAGTTATGATGAAAATATATTTTTTAAAAAATGTATTCTGAATGTTAAAGTGCTGAGAGTCAGCATTTTTGTTATCAGCAACTCCTGCTAAAAATCAGCTGTGTTTGAAACTGGGTCCAACAGAAGAGGGAATGGAAGCAGGGCAGGGAATCCTATAGTCAGTGTAACTCAGAAGCCTTGGCCATATTTTTGAACAGCAGCACTCCCAACCACCTTTCCACCTTACCCATTTCTGATATACAGAGTTTAACTGAATTTTAGATTGGTATCATGTTCTCTTTGAAAACCCAATCACAGCACTTCTTTTGGGCCACCAGTCCCATCAGCGACTCTCCTCACAATGCCATTTCTATGACTTAATTTCCCATCAACAGGAGAATACTAAGATCTCTTCCCTCCATCTAATGCTTTAAGCTTCGATTGGCTCTATGTATACATCACACATATGTTGGGCATCATTTAATTATACTCAACTAGCCATCACTCCTGACCTTCCTTACATGAAGTTTTATTAGGGTCATATTTCTTAAAATAATGAAATCTTTCATGTATTACTTTAACACTGTCATGAAAGATCTCAGCATTAAGAATTTATAATTAGTGAGGAGACATATTTTTTTTCTCTTTCCATGCCAGTCTCATTAAGGAATAAGAGTTCAATCTGGCTCTTAGAAAGACTTTCTTCATGGGCTTTACCAAAACATGGACCCAGGGCTAACTTCTGTCTGTTTGTTGGAAAACTGTTGATCTCAGTGTCTCCTTTATAGTTGTAGCTTCCCAGATCCATTGGTCTCTTTGTTATATACTTACATGAGGATTATCTAGTGAACACTTTTATCACATTGCATAATGCATCAAAATATGAGCAGCTTAATGTTCGTAGGGAATCTTGGGACAGGATTGAGGGAAGGGGCAAGAAGAGATTGCAAAGTAAAACATATATAGACATGCACCTGCAACCAAACACCAAAAATCAAAGAACGTTCCAGAAATCTATGTTGCAACTGCTTTTGCATGAGGGAAGAATTCAGCAATTCAGGATCTCACCTGACGTTGTTGTTGTTGTTGTTGTTGTTATGTGCCGTTGAGTCATATCCAACTCATAGCAACCCCTTCTTGGGTTTCCGAGGCAGTATCACTATGGAAATAGATTGCCCCATCTTCCTTCCAAGAAGTGGCTGGTGGGTTTGAACCGCCAGCCATCTGGTTAGCAGTCAAGTGCCTTAGGCACTATGCTACCACCTGACATTAGTCTTTATAAAACACACCATTCCTTGTACACTTGTATTTCTGTTTAGTTCAAGTTGCTTATTGATTTGTTTTGCAACATTAAGTGGCATAGCAAAGCAAAGCACTACTTTCCCTCACTGATCAAAGGTTCCTCAGTGGAGGGACACAGGGGAGGGGGCTCGATAAGTAATGGTTGAATTGGATATATGCTTCATCATTTGGGGAAAAGGCCTTGGAAGCAACTAAATGGCAATGGCCTAATCCAGAATTTAGGAGCTCTGGTAGCATAGTGCCTAAGGCACTTGACTGCTAATCAGAAGGCTGACCGTTCAACCCCCCCAGCCACTCCTCGAAAGGAAGGTTGGGCAATCTACTTCTGTAGTGATACTGCCTCAGAAACCCAAGAAGGGGTTGCTATGAGTCAGGGCTGACTTGACGGCACATAACAACAACAACAACAACAACAATCGATAATTCAGCACAAGTAATGGGCATGGCCCCTGACTTCATTTAAGCTTTTTCAAAGCCAAACAAAACTGAAACCCCTTCTAAACACCATTTGCCAATTTGTCTTTAAGGTGACCATATGAAGCCCATTTTAAATGCTGGGAAATGAAATGCTCAGACTTCTGCAGAGTTGGTACCAAATAGAAAATAAGCATCATCTCCAATTAATATAAGTGCCTTCCACATGAACAGGTCAATGCTTCTCCAAACTCCAACACACAAGTCCACATCAGAGCTGCATGACTACTTCCGCAAAATGGCGATTTTGTCAGAGCCCTTTCTCTGCCGCTTCCCTGCACACTCACTCAGTATGGAACTTCATTCTAGTACCTTTGGCACATCTAGCTCCCAGGAGACAGAAAATAAGAAAGTAAGGGAAAATGTGGGCCAAACTCAGGAAACATTTGCTTTGTGTAGAACCAAACATTAGGAGGGGAAAAGTCTAAGGCTAACCCACCCCCACTCAGGTTCATCCAAATCTAGTGTTTTCCCCAGAAAGCCCCAGAATCACTCTAGTAAAACAGAACTCACATCTTCAGAGTTTCCCAGTAAGGCCTCTCCATTGCCTCTGAGGCCCATCTTACAACTTTTAAAGTAATCTCTCTAAGGAATTAGTGTGAGTGTGTGTTCTGGGTGGAGAGTAAGGAGGTCAGCGGTGGAAACACAATTCAATAATTGACTTCTTTTCCTGTAGACCAGAATTAAATTCCCCTGGAAACAATCATAAAATTCCAAGAAGGCTGGGGTATCGCTGTTCTTTTTGTCTTTAACCTAGGGCATAAAGGCATAGGAGCATCAGCCTCTGAGCTCTGGAACCATGGACATCTGACCAGCTATGGAGAAGAAATCTCAGCTGACCTTCAGACTGAGTTTATAAACCACTTGTGCACATTTTTAAAGCAGAACAGTGGTGAACTAAAACCGAGTAAAATCTGTCCAATCTGTTCAACAAAAAGCTCTACTTTCTTCTAAGTTTTTAGTATGAAGTGGCTGCCTTCAAGTTTGTTTGTTTTTTAATCACCATTCAATGGAGGAATGCCATCCATGTCTCACAACAAATCCTAACCTTATATTAACCAGTTGTCATTGAGTCAATTCTGACTCATGTTGACCCCATGTGTGTCAGAATAGAACTGTGCTCCAAAGGGATTTTAATGGCTGATTTTATGGGAAGCAGATTGCCAGGCCTTTCTTCCCAGGCACCTCTGGGTGGATTCTAATCTCCAACCTTTCAATTAGCAGCTAACAGCATGATCCATTTGTGACATCCAAGTCCCATTGCTGTCAAGTCAATTCTGACTCACAGTGACCCTATAGGACAGAGTGGAACTATCCCATAGGGTTTCCAAGGCTGTAATCTTTATGGAAGCAGACTGTACATCTTTCTCCCATGGAGGAGCTGGTGGATTCGAACTGCCACCCTTTCAGTTAGTAGCCAAGCAACACCCAGGGACTTCAAACCAATAGCCATTGAGTCAACTCCAACTCATAGCAACCCCATGTGTGTCAGAGTAGAACTGTGCTCCATAGGCTTTTCGATTGCTGATTTTTCAGAAATAGATCACCAGTCCTTTCTTCTGAGGTACCTCTGGGTGGACTGGACCCATTCATTTTTCAATTAGCAGCCAAACACATCAACCATTTGTACCCAGGGACTCCAACCCTATTTAAGGCTCCTTCAAATGAATAGCATGAGGAAACCTGGATCTCCAGCATCCAAGGATAGAGAGCAGAGACCCCAGAGGCAGATACTTCCAAGGTTGTTATTAACTCAAGAAAACTAGAGCAGGAAATTCATTCTTCCCAAAGCTTCTCTGCCAAGACAATACTTGCCTTCAGCTTACCCACCGTCTAAGTGAATAAATCACTCTCTGAGAAGAGGAAAAGGTCAACTAACTCAAAAATACAATGAGTTTAAGTCTACCTACCAATCTTAGTAACCTCACCCAGACCTATGTGAGCTAGAACAATATGCAATTTTTTATTAATTTTGTGTACTAATTAGATACACTGCTCTCAACCACATGCCAAGTGGAGACTTGAATCTAAGGGATTAATTTACCTTTAGTGTCTCAGCCCTGGCTCAGATCTGATAACTTTATTTCCTTAAACCCTCACCAAAGGCAATGTGGTGTTGTTTACCATTTTGGGTATCAAACCACTATAATAACATAGCTGAGTTTACACTCAGTGACATTTGTGTCAATATAACAAAAATAAAATCTAACCTAGCTTTAGTGTTCATAGCCATTTTATATATGAAGGAAAATGTGGCTAATATAGACAGAAAGAATGTCTCTGACCAACAGAAGGTATCCTACATTAATAAATGTACTAAAGACGAATTATGTTTTGAAAATTGAAACTTCAGCTTGGTAAATAAATAAAGTACACATTAAAAAGTGAGAAAGTCACAACACAAAGCCCCTTAAGAATAGCAATGATGATAAACCAGATGTAGAGAAGCAAAGAGGCTACTTCTAGAATTGCATAGGACTGGTGGAAATTATGCATCTGCCATCACGCAGTATTGCATTGGGAATGGGTAAGAGACTAGGAAAGAATCATGGGTATCATCACAAATAATCTGTCAAGATGCTGGCTCTAGTTTAAACAGTGGTAGGCTAACAATTCACTGATTCCTGCTAAGTTTCCTCTTATGAGCTAAATTTTGAGTCTATACCTTGTTACATCTTTATCTGAAAGTATTGATCTAAGCCTTGTCAAAGCAAAATGTAAGATTGAAATTCATACAGTTGAGGAAATTCAAACTCACTGACATGTACAAATGAATGAGGTAGAAATCTTTAATTCAAACATACACACGATAAGGGTTGGCTTATAAATTTGCACATTGGCTTTCCCTGCTTCTAAAGTTTTCCCTGGGATATGATTTTTATATACACAAAAAAAATTAAAAATGAAGTAAGTACATACATTTGGAAGAGGGATACAGACCTTGAGGTCACAAACTCCTTAGTTGAAAACAGTTCAATATTTTGTAACA